CACTGCCTTCCCCTGGCCCAGGCCAGTGGGACAGCCACAACTGGGCACTATTTCCACTGCAGAAGCAGGAACAGCATCCAGCACTGACTCCCACCACTGTGCCATTCCCACCACTCTGCTCCCCTGAGGAAAACAAGCCACACTTGTACAAAAGTGAGTTTGCCAGTGTGAAGTGACTCCACACTACCAACTTCTGCTGCCACAGCTGAGCAAGCCACAGCCCTGAGCACCTCTCTGGCCCTGGTGGCACAGGGATGCCAGCAGGAGCCTGGAGAACAGGCCACTGTGAGCAGACATGGCACACAGCTACATTCCTGGTTTATTACAGGTGGGTTTTTTGTGTTTAAACACTTTCTCCAGAGCAAGAACTGTTTGAAAGTCACATTCTGAGTGAATTTAGCTGCCAGTTCAGTTCAGCCCAGAGGATAAACCACGGAGTGTGCACATGGCCCCAGGGACACGGAGCTGCTGGCAGGGGTTTGCCCTCAGCTGGTGGCAGAGAAATTGGTGTCACAGGGACAGCTGAGGGAAGAGCTTAGGAGAACTTACACTCTTCTCCAGCAAGAGTAGCTCTTGGGGCAGTGAACTCTTTCCAGCCCAGGGCTGTGATCCATGACCATGGCAGTGAGAGGGAGAGTACTGTACCTGCTCCAGGTGGAGTCTGAGCAGCACCACTGGGGCTGGAGGGTTTTGAAGCCAGGTGGATGCTGCTGTTTCCTGCTTGTGCTCCCGTCACACACCTCATGCGATTCCTCTTGGATACGAGATGAAACACAGCATCAAACTTGGTAATTTGAGCCTAATTTAGCAACAAGACTCTTTGAACCCAAGATTCTGACAGCACCTGCCCAGCTCAAGAGGTTTTACCAGCCCTGGGGGGGCAAACATCCTGCTCTGATCCCATTCCTGCAGGGAGCTGTCTTTCCCACAGAGGGAAATGTGAACACCAATGGTTCCAGAGGAAGCTGAGGGTGTTGACTGTGTGACAGAGCTCCCATCAGGGGAATGTCAGACTCCTGTCCTTGTCACTGGATTTGGGTGGCACCTGAGCTTGGAGTTGTTTTTCTGAGATTCCTGCTTTGTCCTGCACAGTTCTTTGAGTGTAAAAGAGAATGTAGGCCTGGGTCTTGCACACCTCCTCCACGCTACATACATTCAGTTTGGAGTCATTGCAGTGGACCCAAAACCCTGAGAAGCAAAGGGAGAGACAGGACATTAGTAAGGGAGGCAGAATCCCTCCTGAATCCATCCTGGAACTGTTCATCAAACACCCCCAATGCAGGAGAAAAGGCATCTCTGTCTTTTCCTCTACAAATCCTCTGGAAAGGAGCTGCTAATCTGGAAAACATTGCGATCTTTTTTTTTCTTGTGCTTTAGAAACACCAAACCATAATTTAATCTCCTGTATATTACAGCCCAAAAGCTCAATTAGCAAACCAAAATGCCCTGGAAGGGGCCAATTTGTGCCTGTTCCCCCAGCCAGGAGCAGAGCCCACACTAACTCAGCTGCTGTGTCCAACCCCCACGGATGTTGGCCATGAATAGCTCCTGCCCAGCCTCAAAACGCTTTCTGTTAGCCCAAGGACCCTGAGCAGACTCCCAGCTGCAGCAGCTCCACAGAGTGACTCTGCCTGAGAAAATGAAGCATTCATGCTGCTCCCAGCGAGCAGGAAGAGGATTCCCCCAGGCCTCCAGGGGCTTTATGCAAGGAGAAACAACAAACACAACATGCCACCAGCAATACATTCGGGGGGGACGGGGGACGGGAACAACTACTGACTGTCAGGGGATTTGATCCCTGGAAACTGTGGCCAGAAAGATTTACAACACTATGGGATACAAGAGGAGTTTCTGGGGTGGGTTCCCCATGCCCAGCACACGCACCTCCCTCCGTGTTGTAGCAATATGCTGTGTAGTGTCCTGAGCCAAACCCCTTCCCGTGATGCATCACCACAGCCGAGAGGTCATAGACAAAGGTCTCTTTGTCAAGAGAGGAGAGAGAGTCCCTGCAGCAGTAAGGTTCCATGTTTAATACCTGGTCAAAGAGGACATGGACCCCAATCTTCTCACGGTGATTGCGTTCAGACCACCTGCAAGACAAGGGCAAGAGGGAAGGCCTCAGCACCTGCTCAGGGCTGGGCCAGGCACACAGGGCAGGCAGCAAAGGTGTCCCTGCTGGCACTCTCAGATCTCCTGCACTCACCTGCCACACACAGCTCACCCCCAGTCACCTGCCACACACAGCTCACCCCCAGTCCCCTGCCACACACAGCTCACCCCCAGTCCCCTGCCACACAGAGCTCACCTGTCCCTGCTACCATGACTTGGGTATTGCTCAGATTCCCACAGCCTTTACACCCCTCAGTTCTATCAACATCAACTCCACACACTTGGCCAAACCATTTCCGAAGCTTCTCATAATCTTCTGAGCTTTGTCTGCTGTTAATTCAACAGGTAAATGCACAACACTTGGCATTTAACTCTCAAAATCTTCCACCCTCAACACATCTTCCACTCAGCTTACTCATCTCTCATCTCACACCATTCCTCCACTCTCTGCACACTCAGCAAACACCTCTGAGGACAACTCAAGGAAACCAGGATGAGTCTTTGTGACACATGGCACTGGGTGTGTGGTAGGAGACACACTCCAAACAGGCTCCTGGCTGCAGTGGGAGAGGGTTCCCCACGTCTGGAGGGTCAGGAGTTATGCACATGCCTGTCCCCACTCACCTGAACCGTTTGAGGTGCAGCCGGAGGACCTGAGGTAGTCTGTAGATCAGTAACTGCTTCTTAGCTTCGCTCAGAACCAGAGGTTTGGGAGAAGACTTTCGCCTTTTGCCTGCCAAAACAAAAAAAAAGCAATCCCAAATCAAGGCAAAGGTTTGTTAGAGAGAATTAACTCTGAGAAGAGGAAAGCAGCAGGTTATGAACTCTCATTCCAGCAGCAGCTCAGGTGCACTCAGGATGGACACAGGGAAACACTGATAACTCCCTCACAGAGCAGAACTTCTCTAGGATCACACCTCCCTAACCACACACCAGTTGTCACCTTTGAGCTGCTCATGCTGACGTTTTGCCCTGGTGTATTTTGAGACATATATTAAGCAGAGCTAAGGCCAAAGACCCTGGGCTGCAGCAGCTCCAGCAGGTGACTCCAGCACACAAACAGCATTGGGCATTGTATCCTGTCTATTGCTTTGAGCTTCTTACAGCACTAGAAAGAAGCTTCCAGCAACAGCTTCACTAGCTCAGGGATATTAATACCAGCCAGAGGAAAATGCTTCCAGCAAGGCTCCACCTCTTGTAGGTTTGCTGCTCAGGGACAGCAAACACCTCCTGAACCAAAGTTGGAGAAGAGGCAGGAAGGTTCCTCTTCCCAGGACACTGAACAGATGCCTGTCCCAGGAGGAAAACAGGTGGTTTCCAGAGCTTCCAAGGAGAAATGTACCTGTTAATTAGAGCTCTGCACCTCACTGCAGCAGCTCAGGGCAGGTGGGTTCCCCCTCCTCTGCCCAGCACTGCCCCAATCCTCTCCCTGACCCTTTTCAGCTGGTGATTGCTTCCTTAGCCATTTAATTCTGAGGTAACCAAGAAAATTGAGGCTTCCACAAGGAATCAAAGCAAACCGAGTTAAGATGAAGCTGAACTCATCCACACTGACAATTTGCGAACGCTATTTGTGAATCAGAATCTATTCAAATCACATTTGGCTTTGTTTCAAGAACATCCAGGCAAGGATTATTTCCTAACACTCTGCGAAGATGTTTGGTAACAGCTCTGCCAGTGACAGATCTCTGCAAGTATTTGCCACTGCAGCTGCTGAGCTGCAATGCAAGTCAAATCACTGGCACCGTGCTCCCAGGGGAGTGAACGTTTGCCATCAATACCTGCAGGAAAAACCTTCACATCCAGCTGATCAGAGCAGCTGAGCTGCTGCTAACACACAGGCTGAAGTGATTTCCAGGGATGTAATGACCTTCCACTCAGAGCTGCTGCAGGAAGGCAGAAGCTGAGCACAGCAAAACGTGTGCATTCATCACCTACCAGGGAACACATTGCCTGAGCCTCCAGAACTGTGCCAGGTTCTTCTGACAAAGTGCCCACAGAGGTGGAACTCTCACCTGGCACTTACACACCTTGGGAACTCTGATTTCTGCTTCAGGGGTTCAGTCAACAAGCAGCAGCACAGAGTGATATGTTAGAAAAGCTTTCCTGCCACACACAGGTGAGTGAAGCACAGGGGATAAAGTTCCTTCTTTTGTCTCTCAATCCAACCCTAATCTCACCCAAAAAGTTCTGTGTGGTGAGAGCAGTTCTGAACTCTGGTTACCAGTTAAACCTCTGGTAAATTGTGCTGCTGAATGGCAGAGATGAGAGAAAAATGACACCTCAGATCCCAAAAAAATGACACCTCAGATCCCCAAAAAATGACACCTCAGATCCCAACTGGAGCCAAAGGTACCAACAGGAGGGACCCAAGCAGCAGGAGCAGCCAGGAAGCAGCCAGCATTCCCACACATCCAGGTCACAGTCCCTGTTCCCAGACACACAGAGCCTCTCCCTTGGACAAGCAGACTGTGTCCCATGGCAGGGGGAAGCACTCCCCACTTACTGTTGCACTGGTCACAGGCATAGATCCTGCCCTCCAGGGCTTCTGTCTCCGTGAACTTGGCCAGCATCTCCGTGAGCATGCACTCCTCCTGCTGCACGGGGACCAGGCCCTTCTCCAGGCAGTGGTAGCGCTCAGGGAACTCCAGGGACAGGTCCCAGAAGGGCTCAATGGTGTTGGATTTGTAGTTGCAGGTGATGCAGGTGACCTGGGGATGGGACAGGCACACACAGACACTGCTCTGTCAGCTGCACCTGACAGCAGGTTTGTGCCCCAAAGGCAGAGCAGTTCCACACCCACACAGCTCTGTGAGCCAAGAGAGACAATTCTTACCTCCAGTCTAAGCCTAAGTCTATCCTAAGCGAAAATTTTAAGCCATTTATCCAAAGAGAAGCCAGCAGACAAGGGAAGGAAATCAGTGCACAGAGGGGTTTGCAGTTGAATACAGTACGTGTACACAAGGGTTACATAAGGAGAATAGCTCAGCGAGTTATTTGTGGTGTATCTTAGCTGCAAATAAATTACAGTGATTTGGGAGGATCTTCACACTCCCAGAGCCTGACCTGAGCACACACACACACCCTCACCCTGAGCCAAGACACAGAAGGTTTAGTCAAGGAGCTCATGAGAAGTTCACAGCAGAAATAATTTAAATGAACCTGAGCTCTTCTGTGGGACAGTGACAGGACCCAGGGAACGGCTGGAGCTGTGTCAGGGGAGGGTTAGGTTGGACATTAGGGAAAGGTTGTTCTCCCAGAGGTGTTTGGGCACTGAACACCTCCCCAGGTCAGCGCTCACAGCCTGACAGAGCTCCAGGA